TTCATGCATCATCTTTTTTCATATTTAACAGTGAGAATGGTAAGACTGAGGGGATACAAATATAAATTTTGGCAATGGAGGAGTCACCTTCAGCTAAAACAGCTTTATTTCTCTAATAGGGTGGTTGGCCTTTGGAATGGGTTTCTTTCAGATGTGGTAGATGTAGTTACTTTAAAGGAGTTTAAGAAACAATTAATAAACGTTTAAATGATAAGGGCTGATTTTGAGTGTCTTATTTTATTTTACAGTTTAGTACAGCAGATAGGATGGCTCAAATTGACCAACATGTCCGTTGTTGTTCTTAAAATATTCTTATGAGGAGATATTATTTTATAAGTCTAGCAAAGTAACATTTGATAATCTTAAATGCATTATTAAATATGAACTTTCAACTGGTAATGTATCATGTGTTGATGACACTGTACAACAAAAAATTTGCTACTGGAGAAAACTCAAGTGATTTAGGTTAATTTGATGGTGCTGATTTCAAACATGGTAGTCAGAATTTGTCCATCACCTATAGATTTTGAGTTATTGTAATATCTCAATATTTTATCAGCACTATGTGAAATACCATGCAGTTAACTCAGTACAATAGATTTATGCTGTGAAATTACATTTACTTGGACAGTTTAATGAGTAAAAGGCATACATTTTTGATAAGTTCAAACATTGACTGTATTATATTGGTGCAAAATTCCAAATATATTGTTCAATATGCTGTTTGTTCTTGATATAATTGTAGCAAATTGCACCACTTTTGCTTCATTTTCACGCTCACCTGCTCTGCCCAGGAATAATGAAACCCTCACATGCTCAGTTTGCTAGAACATTCAAGAAGCCCCTCAACTGAGCATAAAAGGGGGAAAGAGTCCAACGCTTCTTTCTCAGTTGGTCATTTCACATTGCTCTACAAAACAAAGTCCGAGCTTCTTTCTCACATCATACTCGCAAAATAATCAAATTCTGCTAAACTTTGTTTTTTAAGATCTTTTAAATTATTGTTCTGTAAACATAAATTTTATTGTATATCTTTCAGAAAATCATTTGAAATTCTTGCTGCCTCCAGTTCAAGTAAAATACAAAAGTGCAAAAATTATCCAAACAGTTTCTGCTACATTTGAGGAAAATATATTACAGTCTCATGAATTAAAAGCATCACACACAAGGTAAAGATAGCATACTACTACTACTATTTTAGGTGTAAAATTGGTGACCAAGAAAAATATTGGGCTTCCACATGTGTGTTGTACAGTTTGCACATCTGGCTTGACACAGTGGCTATATAAAAAGAGAGTAATTATGCTATTTGCAGATCCCATTATATCATGTGAGCCTAAAGATCATCTAATTGACTGTTATTTTTGCATGACTAATGTTTCTGGATATTCAGGCAAAAGTAAACAATACATTAAGTATCCAGCTATTGCATCTGCAACAAAACCCAGACATCATGGGGATGGTCTTCCAGTGCCACATCCACCAGCGATTTCGACAACAGGAGAGTTATCCTGCAAAAAAAACTATGAATCATCATTATCCTCTTCATCTAGTAATTCTATTCCTGTGGAACCTCAATATAAACTGCCTCATCTGATCACACAAGAAGAGCTAAATGATCTGATTCGTGACTTGTCTCTATCAAAGCAACATAGAGAAATTCTTGGCTCTCGTTTAAAATAATAGAATTTATTTGCTCCAGGAACAAAAGTTTCAATTTACTGAAGTTGCCAACAAAGTTTTGATTCTCACTACAGCATGCAAAATACTTTGTGTTTCTGTAAAAATGTTGATGCACTAACGGAAGAAATAGGTACTGAACATCATTCTCGAGAACAGACTTTTTATTGACTCATCTAAACTTAGTCTGAAAGCTGTACTTTTGCGCAATGAGAACATTAAGCCATCAATTTCTATTGCTCTTGCTGTTAATATGAAACTTATCAAAGCATGAAGATTATACATTCTTAAATGCAATTTTCAATGAATAAATAAAGTTATTAAAGAAAAAGGTATTTTTAAAATATATAATAACATTTTGAATAAAAACTTTATTCATGCATATGAAAACAATATTTTGAGCAACAGCCCTTCATTAGGTTTCTAGTAAGGGGGAAAAAAAAAGACTTTAAGAAGGGATAGGGTATGACAAGAATTACAAAAATACTGTAACCCAAATCTGTATGCCACAACTGACAATGAAAACACACTTCTACAATGATCCATTTGGAATTTCTGTATACTAGTGTTATGGGTTTGAAATAGTATACACGACAGATATATGAAAAATAATATATACAACAGCTTACAAGAAAAAAATTAAAGAAAGATACATAATATCACTGTACATAAAAGGATGTTATCTCAATTCCTAAGAAAACTCATTGTTTATATAAAATGTCTTATTTCAGCAGTCTTCGTATTGTAAATCTTCAAGTGTGTACATCTTCTGCATATTATAGTTACAACAGGTAAATTATACAATCTATGTAACTAACAGAACAATGTCTGTCAGTCAGTCTGCATGTGCATGCGTGCTAGCTCACATGAAAATCCAATATATCTCTTGGCTAACTATACAGAGGTACTTTTCCATTTATATAAGTGCAAAAGTGAACAATGTTTAATGTGCATTGTTCTATGTGTGTGCAAAACTATAACATTTCAGTAACATAAACAAACACATAAGGATACACTAATTCTTTACCTTTCCATGGTTTATAAGTAATGGAATACCATTACATCTCAACATAAATTCCAACAGGTGCCTAAAACTCAACAACAAAGTTTAAAGTTTAAGTATACCTCATACACAAAGCATGAGTTTACCCACTACATAATCTGGAGCAGTTACCCTTAATAGTCCCTGCCACAATTTCATTCACTTTTGATGCTATACAGCTAACAAACTGCACAAAAGAAAATAAATACAGGTTTTTCTGATGATACACAAATGTGATTCATACACATATACACACAAGAAATTTACAAAAAGACACATAACAACTGATTTTTACATTTCTGGAAACTTGTAATTTTAAAAAATTAATTATTTTATAACTATTATATGTTTCCAACTATCTCAATACAGGTGCCTTAAAATTGACAATTAGCTTATAGTATAAATACATTTCATACACTGAGAATATTACACCATTTCCATTATTGGTGGTAATAAACCCAATACTAATATTTTAGTGGACAGTAATAAAAAAAAAAATTGATATTATTATACAATGAAAAAAAAGTGAAACAGTGAAATTAATTAATTATATCTATTATACATTTTTATTTATCTCAATACAAGCATCTAAAAATTGACAATTATGCCTAAAGTTATTGATGGTAGTTGACCTGATGCTTTGCTGATACTTTAGGTCAGGGTATAAAAAAAAAAAAGAGTTGATACGATTATGGAAGGAAAAAGACAAGACAAAAAAAGTGAAATAGCAACAAAAAAGGCAGTTAATTTTTATACTTCTTGACACCATAATTTAAAAAATTCACTATTTTATAACATCTCTTTATCAAGAGTTTGATCCAGAAAAAAATCTCAAGTTCTTAATCAAAGATGGCAATTATCCACAAAGACAATGTGTTTATACAAAAATGTAGGGTACAGATATATATTTCATTTATAGTCATTCCATGTTTTTACACTTTTTTATTTTAAACCTAAATACAACTCCATATTCTGCTTAGTAGGTTTTTGCTTTATTCACATAATACAACAACAGCATTATTTAAAACATATACTCTTCTCATATGTATAGCATTCCACTTAATAATGCTGCATATGTGAAAAAATCTTTGGCTGATATTGTACGTTGGAGGTTAAGAATTCAATCCCGACTATATCCATTTAATTTTAATTTTTTTTCCCCTAAACACTGTTTCAGTAGCCAAGTAATTTTTATACATATTATGAATGAAGCATAAGTTTATCCCTTAGTGTTTGACAACTGTTGGGCTTTTCATCTGATGTCTTGGTTTAACTAATCATAATTTTTGCTATGCACTACTAATATTGTTCTCAAATCATTAAAATGCTGCATTAGCATATTTTCATTCTACCAGTAAACTCATTGCAATTATGAAAATTATTTTACATTACCACTAGTTATTTGTGTGTTTATTAGCTGAGATAATAGTCTGTCTACAATTTTGGCCAATGTAGAAGCTTCTTATCACTCCTAAACATTTTCTTCCTAAGGCAGTGACTCAGTAAATAGCCAGTCTACAAGCTAGGGAAAAATTCAGTTCTTACACTTCATTTAATCTGTTGTCAAAATAGTAAAGCTTTTATTATGCAAGACTTTTTAAAAATTTTACTTTCATGACAATACATATGAATTTCAGGACATCTGCAGCTTATTAATCAGTACTTCATATTTACAATGTATAGAACTGAAAAAAGCACAATTTTTTCTATTTTTGTAAGACTTACAGAAGGTTTGCTCTCTTCTGTTTTGGCATTTAATATGTATTTTCTTGAACAACTTGGAAGCACAATGAATAAAAATATTACTTTCATTTCAACATATTTTAAGTCAAGGAAAGCCTCAGATTTCATTTTATATCACCTATAAAACCTTCCAGTTTGGGTGCAGATAATTTTTCTGGTGCTCCATCAACTTATGCAATGGGGGTTAAGATATCAAAATTATAAAATTATTATAGAGTTTATTAGATTGCCTTTTGAGATCTGTTGCACTACATATATAGTTTTACTAATTAAAAAGACAACCTAAATTCCTTTTTTTGATAAAGAAGAGACTACTATATACAAAGCTGTAGCCTTTTATTAGAATAAAGAAATTATGCATATTAATGGATTTTGGGATTACTTATTTAATTATTTTTGATAGTCAACAAACGTTTGAAATCCAAAGGAAATGTTTAATACAAATGTTATATAATTCATGACAAGACTTTCTAACCACTTCATGTAAGCCATATGTTTATAATATAAGAAAAAGTAACAAAAAGCACTTACTTACTTCAGTACCATAATACATGGTGTTTCTATTTCTTTCAGGTCACCCGACTAAAAAAATTGAAAAAAAAACATACCAATGCAAATATGTTTCACACTAGATTTTCAAACCAGCTAAAATTATACTTCTCTACAAGCCAAGTCATTCATTTTTTTTTTGAAGTTATAACTATGCTGATTGTAAACAATAAGGATTATTGTATATCTGAGCTTATAAACTCTTTAAGAAGAATTCCAAATAAAAAAAAAAGCTGATTATACAAAGCTGTATTATTATATATCTACAAGTAATAAGAAAAAGTTTGAAAAAATAAGGATGATGTAGGGATGGCAATGCCAAAAAATATAGAAGCAAGGTAGGGCTGAATACACAAAACCATACAAAAATCCCTACATAAGTAGCCAGATCTTTTCAAGAAAATTTTTACATACAACTGAATGATAAATTCTCTTTATTTGCATGATTTCATGTTGGAATAAAAGCATTTAAACAGAATAATGTTATAAAGTCTTACAATGGCTAATTCCCATAAGTTTGTAACATTAACTCAGTGGCTACTTATGTTGAGATTTTTGTACGTTTTTTCTGTATTCATCCCTACTTTGTTTCTCTACTTTTTGGCATTTCCATCCCTATATCATCCTTATTTTTTTTGTATTAATTAATTCCCCTCTTTTTTTTTAAACAATATCATTAAATATTAATGAATGGCAGTCACTATGAAGGCAGCAGTTTTAGCCTGATGGACATCGTGTGTTGAAGTTAGTGAAATATTATACTGCTTCTGCACTACCTAAGATAAATGCAACATTTTGAGGTATAAATCATCACAGCAACTTCAAGCATTGGTGAGCTAGCACTTCTGATGCCAAAATCAGAATAATCAGCAGAACATTTGGCTGTTATGCTGCTTGCCAGTTCTTTACCTAAGTGATGTTTATGGTTAAACTGAAAACCTAAGTTAGGTGTTTATAAAAAATCTCTTATATTGTTATAAGAGAGATTTGAGGTTATAATGAGTAATAAATTATATGTGGTGGCCATTTTTTTCGTAGCCCATCCCTACATACTAAGCATTACCATGCTTAGTGATGTTACAGAACAGGGATTATCATCAAGTATTCATTACAAAGGACTTTAAATTTCATACATTGTAACAAATAGAGAGGATTATTGAATTAGAATAAAAACAAAAATGATGTGGTCAAGTTTTAAGTTAATTTCCCAATTATTAATATGCAAGTTCAATGCATGAAACTATGTTAATTAATTTATGAAAAACTAAAACAGTTCTCAAATGTGAGAAATTTCTCATAAAATGATAATATCCAAAATGCCCTGAAATTTAACCATGATGCACTATTAGTTAAACCTGGTAGTCTGGATGTATTATATTGTAATGACTATCTCAGGTTTTATTCAATTCTTTCAGCACGGGCTCAGCCCCTGGGATCAACCTCATAACCATTTTGTGCTTGTTATGGTTTTCATGCAATAACTTTTTAATTAGTAAGTGATTGCTAACGAAATTTGGCAGATTATCAGTAAACATTACAATGCTTTCATATGCAAAAT